TATAAGAAATAAATAACTGGCCAGGTAAAAAGGAAAAAAACCCGAAAAATTATCAAAGAAAAGCGGCATTACCATTTTCAGCTCACTTTTAAACGAAATAGTGTTACGCTTATCATGTATATGATTCTATCATAGACTCCTATTTTTTACTTCTACATTTTAACCAGAACACAATGATAAGCATTACTTACGAAGGACATGGCGCACTAACCATTACCATTTTGCAAGCAAGAACCAAGATACATTTTGTCCAATGATGCTGCATTACTTCACTATTATGGAGTTTAAACAGATCCTATAATTACTACAAAAATTCAAAATTTGTGTGGACCTTTTGTATGCCGTGTCGCAGTGTGCTATACGACGCAATGGCGTCTTGGTATCATTTTAAAATAACTATAATTCTACTAATAGGGATTATTCATGGACATTACTAGGATGCAGTTCTCATTTTATAAATATTATGATAGTGTATAATGACCCATTTACATCAGTTGGATTGCTGTCGGGGATTGTACAAGTGCAACTGTGCGCGAACTATCGTTTCCTGAATCGGATGCATTATCTTGCCATACCACGATTAATATTATGATAGTGTAGGCCTATATGACGTATTTGTTTTTGTTTTTTTATAAGAACCAGTAAATCATTTCCCAGACTCAAAATGTGAGTCTTATTTTAAACATACACTGTAAGACAATACACTTATTTAAACGCTAAGCTCCATGTGTCTCGTCTTTGGTGACGTCTGCTAAACGTGTTTAGCAGGCGCGGATCCTGACCTTCGCCCAGTTCGCCCAGGCAAAGGTCAGGGTGAGAAATAAAAATAAAATTTTGACCATTTTTTCAACAATCATACTTACATTCATTGAATTTTGTTTCACCTTCGCCCCCCCCCCCTCCCCATCAGCCCCCGATTTCAAGACATCTAGATACGCTACTGACTTACATGGCCAGATGAATGAAAATACTCAATCGATGTGCCACCAAATCGTAACCAGCCTTCACCATGACGTCACGGTGTCACCGGGGACGCAACTGCCAAAAAAATATTGTTGGCAGCGAAGGGACGCTACCAATAAACAATCAACAAACTACCGGGTTTCTGGGTTGATTTGCAAGGTACTACTTGGCTCAACTTGTTTTTATTTAGCAGTTAATTGGTAAAAATCGCACACAAATCATACGACGTCACTCTGACAAAGCCAGCAACGGCAACTTGATTTTGAGATTAATTTTCCGAATAAAGTTATACTAAGTAACTTCTAATGACGAACTATTGTCTTCAGTTGTCTTTGTTGGCCATTCAATTGTCATTTTATTTATTTTTCCGGTGATATTACCATTCTCAATAATCTATAACACACCCACATAACAACGTCACGTTAGATGTTCGGTGGGGACGCCGTGGTAATAGAACGCTGAAAGTACTGCCACGAAATAGGTGGCGCCCTACACATAACTTAGAAAATCGTACGCGTTGCTCGAATCTTTAAAAGGCCACGCCCCTTCGTGGAGGTACTTTTTGCGTTCCAACGAATCCCCGGCAGTTGGACCCCGGCAGTATACTCTTTGCTGTAATGATGAACTTTTATTGATTCGATTGGGGGCGTAGTTTACATTATATGGAAGGCCACATTCATTAGTTTTTAAACTCACAAATATTTATGGATTTTATTTTGTTTCGTTGGATATTTTGTTGATTACAATTATATAGTTGTATTCAAAATGTTATAGTGCATCAAATCCCATTTTAGTAAGCAACTTATTATATAGTTCATAGGTTTTGTAGGAACGCTAATGGCGTATCATATTATATCAAGCCTCGTTACGTCACTTATCGAGGTAAACAAACATGGCAGTGAGTGGTGTTTGGCCTTAGCCTAGGGCTAGAAGTTGTTTTTTTTTTCTCTCGTAAAATCCTACAACATCAAGATATGGTATTGAATTTGGTTGAGGTAGGCTATTATAGTTTATACCAGGTGCATGTTCTACTAAACTAAATGCCTACTACTTAGTACCTAGGCCTAGCTAGGGCCTAGGCCTAGCTAGGCTAGAGAGGCGCCCTAGGGCCTAGCTAGGCCTAGTACTACTAGTAGGTAGTAGTACTAGGCCTAGTAGCCCGTGTAGGCCTAGGCTAGGCTAGGCCTATTATTACCAACTAGGCCCAGCCTAGCTAGACTAGGGCCTACCACCGCCACCCCCACCACTCACACAGGCCTGGCCCTAGCTAGCCAATTTGTTTATGTGTATGTATGAAGGTCTATCGTAATTACTGCTATATAGGGCGTAGGTAGGGGAGGGCCTGCATTGCATTGTTAGTCCACTCATTACGGCATCTCGCAATGAGTCCAGGTGGCTCTGAGTGAGTCAGTGGTGGTGGAAAGATTTTCCTGACGGGTTCCCGTATCCCTACTACACCACCATTCTCAGAGGTCCCACGTTCGTGAATGAAATTTCTGGGTAATTTGTCGTTTATTGAAGTGAAATTTCTGGGTTATTTTTTTGGTGTATAAACTACATGTATCACATGTTAATTTAACGTGTGTCATGCCGTTACCAAAAGCCATTACAAATATGCAAATATTTAACAGAAACAGTAGTAGTCCGTTTTTAGTAAGTCCAAACAATGCAAAATAAGTCATTTTCAGGTTTTATTGAACTTTAAATCAAGTAACCTTAAAGAAAGAGAAAAATGTTGTTTAATTATTGAAAATATACACTTAGTATTAGGAGCCATTTTAATATTCACAATGAAAATTATATATTTTAAAAATTTTATTGAAAACTGTAAAAATTCTGGGAAGCAGGGAAACTCCTTAAAAAATCCGGGAAATCCGCAAATTTCTGGGAACTTGTGAGGTCTGCATTCTAAAAAAACCCCAAAAATTGTCTAGGCTGGCAAGAAGGTAGGTCTGCTACTACACTAACCCAATCGTCTGTCATTAACATAACATGACAATGTCTATAACATTTATTTTTTTCTCAGCCTCTTTTTTTTTTTGGTTTTCTTCAAATTCTTTGTTTTTGTTTCGACATCCAAAAAAATATCACCAGCCTATAAACAATTTGTGTTTCTTTCTTGGTCCTTCTTCATTCGCGGCGGTCTTGGTTTGATGACATCATACTTTACATTAGCCAATCGGAGAAATGGTGGCATAGGCATAATAAACACTGCCTATAATATAATGTAGTGGTAATCCTGGGTCAATTTAGAAATGCTTTTTGTTCAAGCCTGAGCTGCTACTACTAGTGAAGTGGTGGTGGCTCCATAAATTTGCCAACCAGAGCCTCGGTGGTCTAGGAATAAAATTCCTTTGAATGGTTCACAATAAGAGTTTTTATGCCATAGTATGTCCCAAATTTTGTTTTTGTAGACCATTTTATTATTTTTTTTTATGGAAATTTAAGTGCAATGGAGGGGGAAATTCCCTGTCTGCTCCTTGCTGGGACCACCACTTTAACTCACCAATAACATTTGTGAGTAGTGAAAACTTATTTGAGCGGGTGTATTTGAAAAGACACTCTCCCAATTGGCGAGTATGAAAAAACATTAATTTTGCACCCTGAACGTGTAGCAGATATTACAGAAAATGTAAGCTATCTTTTATGAATTCAAACAATCACATGTTGCTTTTATGTGTATTAAACTATACATTCAAATCACTGTGTTTTAGAAAACCATTTTGTTGTAATTTTTGGGTCTATCCATACGGTATGCCATACCACTCCATGGCCATACGAAGACAAAATTAAAACAAAAACACGAAAAAAAAAACATTGCATTGCAAGTACGGAATTTAGATCGTACCTCATCATTTCTATAGGGAAAATTTCCCACTGATAAATAAACATGAACGGTACTGGGTAAAGATAACTTGATTTTTGCTTCGAACAAGGTATCCATTTATAGAAGTTATATGAAGATGAGCCTATCTGAGAGTGACTCTAGGGTAGTCGAGACCAGGACATATCTCCGACTTTGAACAAAGATTGAATTATGTTAATTATAGAACAAGTATACAGAGACTAGCCCATAAACGTAAACAATTATATTTAAAAACTTAATAAATGTATGTGTATTAGTAATCTGTTTTAATTATGGATAAAATAACATAAAATATGAAAGAATAAAGGAAGAAGGAAGAATAGGAAAGAAACTTGGGGCGGCTGAAATATATATACAATAATAATGAGTATGTCATTATAGCATTACGTTTTTATAAAAATTTCAAGGCACTAATTGTCAGAAGTCACGGTGCCGGCAGCCCACACATTTCATAATTTGAATCGTAGGTGAGATTTCCCGCCGATATACGAACGGTACTGGATAAAAGCAACTTGATTTCTTGCTTCGAACAAGGCATCCAGTCATAGAAGTCATATGAAGATAAGGTTATCTGAGAGTGACTCTAGAGTGGTCGAGACCAGGACATCTTTGACTTTAAATTGAACAAAGATCTAATTATTTTTATTATAGAACAAGTATGTCTGATTTGATTTCAAATTATGAAATGTGTAGGCTGCCGGCATCGTGACCTCTGACGATTAGTGCCTTCAAATTTTTATTGTATATTTTTTTTTTTTTGCCATTTTGGATTCGACGTATTATTATTATTATTATTATTATTATTATTTCAAATACAAAATAATTTTTTTTTTTGGCCAATTAGCACACATGTAGACTTGCCACAAGTCCCTTGTTATTTTTTTCTCATTCTGGACAGCGCCACCAACGAGTAAGTTGACAGAATAAGGGACTTGTAAAACACTGCATGCAGGTACCTGGATGCGAAAAGAATGACATAATCTTTCCGTATTTGGATAAATGGGCGGACCAACATAAACGATTTCAACCAATCACTGTGCTCACATTTTCAAAGCCACAAACGTACAAAAACTGAGTCACGTCTCGCATCAACTAGTTAGGCATGGCTAAAAAATGGTCTCCCCTAATGGACCTAAAATATTTAGAATAGACCCTAGGACAAGTAGGCAATGGGAAAGACGAATAAGCATAGGCTAGATGGCCCATATTGCAATGTACAGCTCAACTTTCCGATAGAATGGCCTACTAGGCCTTTATAGTCTAATACTAGTAGTAGTGGTGGGCCTACTTTTAAGTTCATACTTAAATACAGTACCTTTTTATCAATGCTATACAGTACTCGGCCTAAATCTGTGGAGCTTAGCGGTGAGCATTGTTATCTATAAGTTATACAACGGAATATCATTGCATTACGTCGCTCAGCAGGCCACGAACTAATTTACTAACTAAATTAATTCAAGTAGGTACGCAAAAGTTAGCTGCCTAGCTTAGCTGTTGAGACACTGCAAATTTTCAATTTGAAAATTTAAAAAATTAATTGATGCAAGAGGTAAGCCAATCACAATTACAAAGTCAGTCATGCATACGATATCACACATCTTGATTTGATGTGTTAAATTGTACGCATGAATGATCAGGCAGCATTTGGCCAGTCCCTAATCTGAGAAAAAAATAAATTGAGTATGAGGTGCCAAAGAAATTTGGTATGACGTGCAATAATAAGTGAGTAACCCGAAATTAGCTCCTGAAACCCAGGCTAGTGCACCTGCTGCCACGAAAAATTGAACAGAACAAAAATTAAAGTTTATTTTTATTTTTATTACGCCCACTGATGCCTTGAAATCTCCAAAAATAAGATGTATATTTCTTCCTAATTATATAAATTTAAAGCATTTAAACTTCCCATTACTAAACTGTTTACATTCACCAATAAAATTTTTTATTTTTTTTATTTTATAAATATTCAATAGTTGAAATCATAAAAATTAGCAGAAAAATGAATTGCTTTTAATATTAACAGGTTTAGGGTACACAAATAGAAAAAAATTTGAATTAATTTAATTTTAATTTCAAATGAATTAAATGGTTTTCTAAGTTCCACATGTATCTAGGTGTATTCATGAGCCTTTAAAATATTTTGTCTTTTTTAAATTCATAGCTTTCTAAGTTTTTCAATTTGCTACACTATAGGATCTGTCTCTTATACACATCTAGTTGGTTTACCCGGATGCTATGGTTCATTTCATCCCCCTTCTTTGTGGAATGATGTAAATTAGCACCTCTCTGTGGCTGCTACGGTAGTCACGGACCACGCTCATATGCATTTCAGAACTGCAAGTTGTGGATTATTCTCCTTCCTATTCCTTTACCTGTATACATCTGAACCAAAATTAATAAGATAAAGCCTCCATCCTCCATAATATTTGTCCTCATTATTATTAAAATTATCAATAACAGACTTACTATTACGCAATCAGCCTGTTACAGTATCTGTCTTTATATATTTTCAAATTGCTTGCAATACAAACCAAGGTATTTTTATGAGTTATGTTCATAAATGTGGCTACTGTAAATCTCATTGTCTTATTGGTTTTTCTTTTAACAATTATTAGGAAGCAGAATAAAAGAATGCAATTACAGTATAGGTTTGATTAAAATTGTTCTATTATTTTTTTGTAGAGCGTCATGTTGGTTCAGTCGGCCAGAATGTTAAGAAGCTGGTGTTCAGCTTCAGGATGAGTAGTAAAATTGTGAGAGTGGATAGCATCATAAGAATACAGTGTGCTGGTAAGTGGAGAAATATTAATTTTTTTCATCCAATTGTGATATAGTCTACTATGAGTGTTATCTTATAGCCATACTGTAGTTAATAATCTCAATTTTGTTTTCATAAATGTTATTTATTATAAAATCATTGCTTAAAATATTCTTTTCTTTTTCCATTCTCTTCACCATATAGGACAATAAAATAATGCTTTTAAAATCACCCACCAATCTTCAATTAAAAATACATGGTTCTTATCTTCTCAATTTTACAGTTTTTCTTAGTTTGTCTAGTTTATTATTAAAACACCTTGACTGGCAGTACAAACTGAGTTGCATCAAATTTTACATATGTAAAAATATACAGTAGGAAATTGGAAACAGTTAAAATACAAGATACTTCAATAACGATAATATATATATCATGTTTACCTAATATCATGAAACTTCAATCTGATAGCATAGTATGTGCAAACCATGTATTGTGTTTGCAATGTTACAATGTGTAACATTGCAAACACCAAGAAAGGTCTGCGCATTAACAAATAACATTTTAAACATTTGTCTGTTACATTTTTTACCTATTTTATCAATCTTTTTATTGGCTATTTTAATCTGATATGTCGTCTTTGCCTTTCTGTTGTTTTGTTAGTTATTGTTTGTTCGTTTAGTCAAGGGGTTTAGAGGATACCCACACCTTGTGTTGGGCTCTCAGCCCATGTTGTCCTCTGGCCATTTTCTGATTTGTTGTGCCAAATATGTAATAAATAAGTATTGGCATGGGATATTATAGTCAGGTTTTATCAAACTAGTTCAATTTATATAAAGTTATTATATGTTTAAAATATTGTTTTCTTTTTCCATTCTCTACCCAAACTGTTTATCTATAATCTGCTAAGAAGGGCTAATTATTGCTTAGCTCCACTATAGCTCCACACAGTAGGCCCTATTGATCTGTAAATTAATTACTTACTTCCTGTCACTGCTTGGTATTTTTGTTTTTAGTTTTTTCAATTTACTTGATCTTGAGAATGGTTCCATGATGGACCCGAAACGACGATCTTTCTTGTCATTAAATTTGGTTTTGAAAAAAAAAAAGAAGAAAAATCTACCCATATAGGCCAATAAAATAATAATTTTTAAATCATCCACCAATTTTCAATCAAAAATTATATTATACGTGGTTCTTATTTAGTCTATTATTAAAACATCTTCATTAGCAGCACATAAAAATTTACATACTGTAAGTTGAAAAAAATTACAATTGAAAAAAAAGATACACAAGAATTATCAGAAACAGTTAAAACAATTAAAAAAACAATCATGTATAAAAAAATATGAAAAAAAAAAATTAAATTTACCCAGTATCATGAAACTTCAATCTGATAGCATGGAAGTAGCCATGCTACCAGAATGCTGTACGAGAAGACTGAAAAAATTACATTGGGATGTGTTCTAGTTAAGTTTTATACAACAGATGAATGGTGTTGAATATAATATTGTTGTCTATCATTTTAAATGTCCAGGCTGCAATAGTGATTATATTGGTAAGACAGATAGGTGCTTAATAACTAGACTTAAAGAACATTCTTCACGATCTGATAGTGTTATATTTGATCATGTTAAAAACTGTGAGGCCTGTCTCTTATACACATCTAGATGTGTATAAGAGACAGACAATGAACTGTCTTCATAAAGCTTAAACAAAGCTTATATTTCATCCGAACCATTTAAATTATTAAATGTAACTGTTATCTTTTAAATAAACTCTCTTACGTCAAATCGGCTGAATCGGGGAATATAGATTAAGTGCATTTAGTGCAAGTACAAACAAAGGTACACGATTAGAATCAAATATAGAATTTAAGCTAACAAAAACAAAATATCCAAAACAAGTCTATTGAAACTGCAAAAATCAGGAAACTGCTGAAATGACACCACAGCAAAAGCAACTTCTAGATAGCATATATATGGGTTTCACCTCAGCAAATCTTGCATGTTGTAATCGACTGCTTGCTGTTAGGTCCAGAATTGGACCAATATTTTTAAGTAAGTCCAGAATCCAGAAGTTTTTAACGGTTGCTGATTTTATGAGTTAAAATTTTTTTTTCGTCATTGTCAAAGTGTTTTTGACAATGCTTTTCAGGGTAAGTATGTCACCTAGTTTTTGCTTGAATGTTTTATCCTTTTGAGTAAAGTGGTTGCAATGAAAAGTAGTGCCACCAACGAATGTCTGTAAACTTGTACACTACAAAATTTAGATTGTACCTCATCATTTCGAGATCAACTTTTTTGTATACTTAATTGTTTATTATGGCCTAGTGTTATTTCAAAAGGAAAAATGTTTGTCAAGGCTGAATTTAGAGAAACAGTTGCCCTTCAAACTTGGTGAATCTTCAACATTTTAATACAGCATAGGTCTTGTCTAGCCAGGGTAGGTAGGCTATAGGCCTAGGAGGAGAGGATACGTCTCACGGCTGTTTCATTGCATAGAACACGCTTTTTTATTTCAATAAGATAGCAGCTGCTTCATGAATTTCTGTAGAATAGTCCATAGCAACAAAATTTTGTGAAAATATGTATTTGATTTTATAGAAATAAACTAATTTAATAATAAAATTTATCAAGTATACATTGGTATTTTATAGGAATAGGCTTTATAGATGCTGTACTCACTGAGATACCATATAAAATTCCTAGTAATTATATGACTTTGAATGATTTTATTTTCTGCACAATTGCTGTTGAATTGTAAATATACAGCGCCCTCACACTGATATGTAAAAATCGTAAAGGTAAACAAAACTCTTCTGCATGTAACTGTTGTCTATAATTTTTAGTGTTAATTTGCAAAGCTACCCTAAGAAATAATTATGTTATTACTTTCAACATACATTTGTTAGGACGTAAGACCTATAATCATTTCTTACTTAACTTTTTCTTCAACCTATTTTTTGTCTCTTTAGCCTAGACATGTTGAAGACTATGCATACAGCGCGTGTTTTGTGCGCTCTAACAACCCTCCATGTTCAACGAACCCGTAAAGTGGGCCTAGGAAGTATTTACTTTGTTACATAAGCTGTTATATAAAATTAGTAGGACCATATACAAATTAATAAATTAAAAAATAAAACAATATAAAGTAAATAACAGCAGCACTTTTGAGACTAACTGATAAAGTCCACTGTGTGGACGAAATCTAGAGAATAAATACTATATTGTTAGTCTCAAAAGTGCTGCTGTTATTTACTTTATATTGTTCTATTCTGTATCAGAATAATGTAGCTATATTTTCTTATTAAAAAATTAAACAATTCAAAACCAAATTCGTTGAACATAATACTGTACATTTATTTCATAACATGGGCTTAATTATGTAAAACAAAAAATACAAATTAAATCTTTAATTTATATTATTAAATAATGTAATATTCTTTTCATTTTTTTTTTGCAAATTATGTGATCAAATGTAGGCGTATTATTTTTTAAACATAGTTATTATTAAACATTTTTTTATTTAGTAAAAATTAATAATAACTAAATAACTAACTACAATAAATCTTTTACACAGTAAATTATCTAGGCCACACTCTAGTAATTATTATTATTATTATTATTATTATTATTATTATTATTATTATTATTCCTATAAATATCAGCCATACTATTATTATTAATATTATTATTATTAAGGTATGTAAAACATCAAATCGAAACCATTAATTTACTCCAATAATTCATTATCCATCCTTCTTCTGTATTATTAAACTGTTGTGAATTATTATAAACTTATATTGAAAAATTAATTGTATTTTTTTTCGTTTTCATAAACCACAAACTGCATTACAATTCAATGTGACTAATTAAACATGTAAGCCCACTGTACACTGCCTGTAGTCAGAAGATACCACACCAATATGTAACTGAGGATGTAAACATTAAAAATATTAAAATGATTTTAATGTCGTCAATAACATGTTGAAAATTATGGTTAATTACAGAGAGATCAATATTGTTTCCCAGAAAAACATGAAATGAATTGGTATCATCAGCAAATAATCTAAATAAAAAAAAACTGGTGGAATTAGGAAGGTCATTGATATAAGTCCAAAAAAGGGCTGAACCCAACACTGACCCTTGTGGTACTCCACATGAAATTGAAAGATTACCAGAGCAAACTTGACCCGCAGCAATGAATTGAGATTTTCCTTTTAAATAATCAGTCAGCCAAGACAGTGGCTGACCTCTTATACCATAATGTTGCAATTTAGATATAAATATTTCATGATTAATCGTGTCACATGCCTTCATAAAGTCAATAAAAATGACAATTGAATTGTCCTTTTCATGAATTTGTTGAAGAAGATGGTTAACTAAATTTATAAGTGACAATTTTGTGCTATATTTCTCCCAGAACCCATCTTGATGAAATATATTAAATTTTTCAAAAAAAGTAGTCATTCTATTATAAGTATTGGTAAAATTGAAAGTGGGCGATAGTTTCCAGGGTTGTCTTTAGAACCCTTTTTGTATAAAGGAATAATTCTTGCTATTTTAAGGAATTTTCCCTGGGAAAACAATAAATTGGTAGAGTGAGTGATTGATTCATTGATTAAAAAGAAACAAAATATAAGAATATGCCACTACAGTAAATAAATATGACTTTTTGTATACTTTCAATGTTTTTGTTTTATTTAGTGGTTTTCTACTTCATGATGAGTATATAAAAATTGAGGAAGTGGATAACAACACAAGAATACAAGGTGTTAGTAAGTGGAACAATATTTCATTTTTTGTAATATGAAAAAATTCCCACTGAATATAATTATCAAGTCATACTTGATTTTTTGCTTCCAACAATCGTGAAACCATTCTCAAATTCGTACAATTTCCAATCTGGACTCCGGATCCGGACCGATAGATCTGAGAGCCATTTGTATCCTGAAATCATTCAGTTTTTTTTTCTTGGACCAATCAGTAATAAGCTCAGTTGGTTCGAACCAATCGAATGCATAAACTGAACAATCATGTTACGTGTGCAATGTGAATGCAGCGTACAAAAAACGTAGCAACTCACGATTTTTTGTCCGGGCTCCGGACTGGATCCGGGCTTAATGTGAACATAGCTTTATGAAGATAAGCCTATCTAAATAGTAACGCTAGTACTGCAGGGGCCAGTCCAGACCTAATTTTAAAATAAGCTTATAATGAATGTATACAAGTAGTCTGTAAAGCAGTCTTTAGTGAATTTATTATAATTAAAATGGTTTTATGTTTTATAGAATGGCAGTTGGTAAACAAGCAGATTGAGATAGTGACATGTTTAGCAGCAGTGGAAATGAAAAATGCTTATAAAAATTGAGAAAGCGGAGAACAACACAAGAACAGATTCTGGTAAGTTTGTATTGTACAATTTTATAATGCTGCATTTTCATTGATCCATTTAAGTTTCCATCCTAATTTTCTCCATTCGTGTATTATCGGGAATATCATCATTCAAGAGTAGTGACAGGATAGCGCAAGGGTTCTCAACTATATCGCAATAGTAGCCAAAATTGTTTGTTGAATTGAATAATATGAAGGACAAGGGGTGTACTTCGGCACGTAGCGCCATCTGAGCGCCATAGGCGTGAGCCAGGGGAGGGTTTGGAGCAGTGACGTAGCTACGGGCAGTGCAGCCATTGAAAACACGGAGGGGAACCATTCATAAATAATACTTTAAAATAGCTTCTAACTTAATCAAAATTAAGTTTCCAAGTTAATGTTTTTTACGAATAAAACGGCCAGCGGGCCCCTTAATAATATTCGGATTTTAGAGTATTCAAGGGTGTCCCAAAATTATAAAAGAAATGGAAAAAGGGAAATTATATTAAAATTTAAGTGTGAGAGTGTTATTTCCGGCCATTTAGAGGTGCTATAATTCAAAATTTTCCTACCTCAGCCCCAACCATCGTGGGGCTGAGGTGGTTTTTATTCACCTGTGAAAATCCCTCCCTGCTCCCTTTATTTCGAATTCTCTGACCTTCCACTGCAATTGTTAAATTTTATGTGCCACCAATTTTCTTGATTAGTTTAGAACATCTGTTGAGACCGAATATGCCCCTCTTAAAATAGATACGAATCTGATAACCATTAGTATTTATTACTAGCCTAGGCCTTTAGAAGTGGGGTGCGGGGATGGTAAAAGAAGCACTTCTTATGATGAATTTTAAGGAATTCCCCTATGACATCAAAGGGCCCAGCAATTAATCTTGCACTGGGGCCCTTTCGCACCTAGCTGCACCACTTTGGAAGGGGGTGTCTCCCCCTCCCAAATTAATAATTTTTTTTAATGACATAATAAGTCGCTAGACTCCCATACAGGGCATCTTGACTAAGAAAGTTACCCTTGTATTTGTTAATACAAAAGTCAAAATGTTATGTATCACAAAAAGAGCCATCAATAATACAAACACTTTTAATCACATATGAATGTAGGCCTTATGTCATCTTACATTGTTACAATCATGATCTTGCCTGCTTAGTGACTGAAATTAGCCTTTGATGATTGTGCCAGTGGATTAAAGTCCAGTTTAATGTAAAATATTATTTTCGGCTTGTTCTCGCAGGCCACATGACATCACTTTTTATTCTGTATAATTTTAAATTTTACTTTTCATTTTACAGTATGTATTTTAATTTAATTTTTGATATTTTAGTTTCTTAAATTTCTTTGTATCTTCTTGCAGAAATGACCTTGTAAAAAACACCAATATGGTGATACAATGTTATTATTATTATTATTATTATTATTATTATTATTATTATTATTATTATTATTATTATTAATATTATTATTACAAAGTAACATGCAATAGGCCTATACTGATGTTCACTCTGAGAATTCAGGGGAGAAAATTTTGGTTTATTGCTCAAAAGGTGTCAAAATATAATTTTGAATGGATTTATCTTACTTTCAAACTGCTGTAGTTGTTTTGGTACAATGACAAAATAGGGGCTGGCCATAGTGTTAAAAGATATATTAATACTCTTTTTAAACATGTGCTAACCCAACGTGTAAATATAACGTAACGTGTATTCTAGGTCTTCAGATTCATATTGGAAACACATTTAAAAAATACATGTAAACAATTTTAAGTGACTATCGCCTGTATTCTTAAAACGAACTTTAGTCGAACTTCGAACTAGAACTTCATTTAGTCTTAGTTGCAACTTCAACTTCAAATTGTATTCACAAACAACGTAGTAGAAGTTCTAACTACTATAAATCAAGTCCTAGTTGTAGTTCAGCTGAAGACTGGCAAGCAACAACTATCAAACTAACCAATAAAAAGAGCTAATTTTAATAGCAGATGAAATTTTAGAGATCCGGTAACGCGGAAGAATATTAAACTGCCATCTGTCTTTCAAAAACATATTTCCTCATAATTCATAATTGCCCATTATTCGCCTAACTAATATTATATCTTAGTCGTTAACTATAATAGTCGTTAACATCAAATGATAGAGAATTTGAACTGTCACTAAAAATTTGCTTTCTTTAGAGAACTATTATAGTTGAGATCGAGTGAAGGCGGCGCCATCTTTGTCGTTACGGTAAATCTACGTGACCGCAACGCGAGAGGATTTTGTGCAAATGAGGAACTGTTGCATGTGGCTAGCAAAACATGCTAATTTCGCCTTTTGGAAGCTAAATGTAATGTCCCTTTTCTTGAACACAGTGGAGATACATCAGACCTACTTATACAATTGTTTTTATTCATTTAACTTTATCGTAAGTTACAAAAAGCATGTTTTCATCAGGGTAAATATTTCAAGTCGGCAATTTAGCCTGACCCTAGGCTGACTAAAAAAATCAGCCTGCGGAGGCATAATTTTAGGCGAGGTTTGCGTCATTTAGTCGTAGTGCTAGTCGAAGTTCGTTTTAAGAATACGAAATGACGTAATTTTAAAGTTTTAGCTCGAACTACGACTAAAGTTTGTTTTAAGAATACCGGGGTTAGTCTTGATTACAATTCCAATCTTCCCCCCATCCCCTGGCCAAATTTTCCCTGTAATATGTTGCATCAGTTGTAAATTTGTAGTTTTCTTTTCTTTTTTTTTTATTTGTTAATGAGTATAGTTAATCTTGTTTATTTTATAGAGTGCCATGTTGGTATGCAGGCAGATTGAAAGCAGTGTTTTCACTTGATGTGTGTATAATAATTGGAAAAATGGATAACAACTGAAGAATACCAGATTCTGGTAAGTGGAAAGATATTTCATTTTTTTCAAGCAGTACTTGGTAAAGACAACTTGATTTCTTGCTTCGAACAAGGTATCTATTCGTATCTTCATAATACTAATAGTGACGTTATCTTTGGAATCTATTACCTCTTTCTGTTCAACAATCTTCAAATTTAAGCTCATTTAAAACTAATTTGAAAACTTTTTTGTTTACAAAACGCTTTAATTGGGTTAATTGTTCACTGCACCGTTGATAATGTTTTTTGAATTGGCACGTTATAAATTTCTGCATATTATTACAGTCAAGACCAGGACATCACTCTGACTATAAATTGACATAAAAAATTGTTCCACAATATATACAAACCTTAAAACATAAGAAATGATAAGCTTATAATGAAGCTTATAATGAATGTACAAATATATATATATATATATAATCTGTTAAATATTTTCCAAAAATAGGAAATTTTTCACATCCATTGTAATAATTTAAATTTTTTTAAATTTAATCTAGTTCATTTGAAAGAGCAGCATGTTGATAAACTGTGGTTGAGAGCGTAATTGGAAAGCTTAATATCAGTTTCTGGTAAGTGGAAAGTTACCTTTCATTTCCTTGAAAGAACATGTAATTATATTTGATAGACCATCCCACCCATCATCAACCAGTTTAAATCCTATCATTGGCCATTCATGAAAAATCACTGTATGTGAAATACACACAAATTGATACATAACATTCAGTATCATCTACCTAACATTTACACTGTTGGATGATACTGAGAGTTATGTACCAATTTTGTGTATTTCACTTTTGGTGATTTTGCCATGTATAAACCACCTACAGGAGAGTCTATGGTAAACTCTCCAAGAAAGGTGGACATATTAACAAGCATTGTCTTGGGTTTTATTATAGTCAAGATTTATACAACGGATGTTAGTGTTGAAATGATATAAAGTTATTATATGTAGAATATCTATAATAAATGAAAGTATGTTAGTTTGAAATTAATTAAAAAGTAATAAAAGTCATAATATTTGGAGGTTAAATTCGATATCATTTCTTTTTTAATTTCAGTTGATTCATTTGCATATTCCACCAGATCAGCTATCCTCATTACCAGGCAGAGAAATGATGAATATTCATTGAATTCAGCTAGAACTGCAAAAACCAGCAAAACTGCAGAACTAACACCAAGTCAAGAACAACTTCTGAGAGGCATATATATCTTTCAGCGGGGCCAAGGGTGGTGGGTGGCGCGTAGGTTCCACGCGTGGCGATCGCCTATGATGGGCGATCGCTTCCGCTTGGATAATCCCAACTGTCTTTTTGCGTGAGATGCTGACGAAATTTTCCAAAAAAGTTTCGTTAACATTTATTGCATTGTACAGTATGTGTTGTTTGAAATACAGTAACTACAAATGAGCTGTAGTACAAATACAAAATAGTGTTGCATTCAGTTTTATTCAACATTGTGTGATTCTTTACTAAGTCCAGAATAGGACTCAACCATTTATACACTAAGTCCAGAATAGGACTCAACCATTTATACACTAAGTCCAGAATAGGACTCAACCATTTATACACTAAGTCCAGAATAGGACTCAACCATTTAACATTAATTTATAAACCAAGTCCAGAATTTTAACTAAGTCCAGAATAGAACTCAACCATTTACATAAATTTATACACTAAGTCCAGAATTTTAACTAAGTCCGGAATAGGACTCAACCATTTACATAAATTTATACACTAAGTCCAGAATTTTAACTAAGTCCAGAATTGGACCAACAATTTACAGTAAATACAAAATGTTAACTAACCTTTATAAGTTCAAAATCGGACCAAATTTTAATTTAGTACAGAATCCTCAGCATTTTAAGTAATTGCAGAATTGGGCCAACATTTAAATATGTCAAGAATCCGACTAACACTAAGTCACTAAGTCACTAAGTACAAACCTGACTTGACAATCAATCTTTTTATAATTTACACTAATTTTATTGAATGCACGATAAATGTCTATTGCAGTGTAGATGTCCCACAATCCATCTGCTTCATGTCCATACATCAGAGTTTGCGATACAATGCTGGTTCAAGAGTTTGCTAAGCTTTGCGTAACAGTGTCCGCAGGATTAAAAAAAATTGTCTCTATTGCCCCAAAATCCAGATCAAAATTTTAATTTCCACAGTTCACTTGCATTATCTAAAAATCTGACTTCGCTAAAGCTTCAACTACCATTACAGGTACAGTACTGTTTACTAATTCAAATGAATCAGTCTTGATTTCCCTTGCTCAGCAAGTGTTTTCCTAGAAAATATAAAGAAAAAAAATGATATAAATATGAATACAATACTATAATTCAAACTAGTTAAAAAATAATTATATATACCGTATTTGATCATCATTATTGTTAATTATTGTTATTAAGGTTTTTAAAAATTTTACATCGGACTGCTGCTGTACATAAAAATAAAATTATCACCACTATGCTCAACATGGTCATTATGATAATCTATACCATTATTATATTAAAATGTACAGTTAAATTCAAATTCAATTTAACAACAACTAAGTATGTATGTAGAACAGAAGGAGTTTACTGGGGCAGATGCAGGATTTGGCGATATAGGGTGCGTCCACACCACCTCCGAAGTGTTAATATTTTAGAATATAATTTCTTTCTACAATTTAGGGGGTGTGATTGCATCGTCTGCACCCCCTGCATCTGCCCCCGGGTTTATGAATTTGAAAATAATTTCCTTACCTGTTGCAATGTGGGTGGTGGTGTATTCATGGCTTGAAGATCACTCAACTTTTTTTCATATTCTGAAATAGAACATTTAAATAATCATAAATATGCAAGGAACTACTCTACAGTACATGGATTAATCAGTGGTGGATTTAGGGGATGGCAAGAATGAATGGCAGAATAAGAATCTCTATTTTCCACCTCGTACAAAATACAAAATCAGACCTGCTAAACTTTGGGTCATGAAAATCTGGAGATTTTTTAAGAATCGTAAAAAAATCTGGAGGTTTCCAGAATTAACCAAAAGATGACGGAAGATACCAAAAAAGTCACGTCACTAGAAATCATTGGCCGTTAATTGCGACATTCAAATTGAAAATGGATGCTTGTTTATTGCACCGCAAAGCGAGCAGGCGGCGAATACATTGAATAATAACGATCAAATTATGCATAAATCGGAGTATTTTTGGGGAAGGGGGAGGGTGGCCTGTGAAATCGGTTGAAAATTACATTCGATTGGGAGAACTGGAGATTTGTTTAAATATCGGGTGACACCCGACAGGATCGGGTGAGTTGGCAGGTCTGCAAAATGCATAGTAGGTAACATCATCGCCGAGATATGAGTGGGGGAGGTTTTTAGTAGTACAATGCACAACTACCTGTATGCTATAGCTCTGGCAACAGAACAACTAAATAAAATCTTTCTCATATACAGTATATAAAGCTGTCTCTTATACACATCTAGATGTGTATAAGAGACAGGTATAAACCACCTACAGGACAGCCAACCCCTAAATTTTGCAAAAATATTTTTTAAATGGAGAAAAAAATAAAATTATATTCAAATTTAAGGCCTGGAACTACTAACTGTATTAGGTTCCTGTTCTATCGGCAAATATCCCCTCAATTTATAATTAGGCAGTACTGTGGAGTGATAACTCCCCAACAGTTGACATGCATTCATAGAAGTCTTTGTGAAGAGAGCCTACAGTATGCAATGTGGCCTGAACCTACTGCTGGATTTAGTAGTACCTACAGTACGTACCTATGTTTATTAATTTCCAGTATCAATAATTAATGCTAAGTAAAATATTTGAAGGAACAGGAAGAAAGAATAGGAAAGAAACTTGGAGCGGCTGAAATTAACAAGAGCGACCGCTCACCAGGTCCACGTGTTCTTCTATGCTTAAATACAGTACAGGCTCGAGTTATTATATTGGGTTTTTTGGAAGAGCTAAAATCACCAGGGTTCCCAACTTAAATTCGGCCATATAAGTCTCGGTTGAATTTGCCTACTGTATGTTCACTACCACAATACTTCATTAACATCCAACATATCTAATATATGTAGATAAACCAAGGCAATTCAACAGAACGCACATCTCGGAACATCAAAGGTTATAACTCTGGCATCGACATTCTAGGCGCACGTGCGTCCCTGCACGCTGAACGTCACAAAACCATAGCAACCAGACCATAAACCGTCAGCGTACGTGACGAATTCCTCACGCGCGTGTTAGTTGCCATGATAATCGCGCGTCGTGCGGTGATTACAAAGGCCTAATGATATTTTGCACTAACATTAGACTGAAATTATATTCTTCATTTCAACATTAATTTTACCAAAATTGTGGTGAATTGTCGTTCATGAGACTTACTTCGCAGAAAAAATTAATAAATGTTCTGTATATACTCAAATTTTCGTTTTCACACCTTATGCCAACATTGTCAAAATGACAGATTAATGTTACATAAGAACATGAAATTTTATAAAATTCGTAATTTTAAATTGCTATAACTTTTCATTTTCTTGGTCAATTTTCACAAATCAAATTGCAGTTTATAGAAGCATTGAACAAGCTCGCGGTAAAAAAAAATCAGATGTAACAGACATTGCGAAGTACCCACAATTAATAAAATAAAAACTAACACCATAAAACGAATGGCACGCATAGACTAATAATTGACGGCTGTACACGCAACTAGTATCGGATTGTCGATGCCACAGTAAAGATCAAAGGACTGTATGCATGCGCTATGTTCGCGAGCGGAGATGTGCGTCCTTCTGTTGAATTACCTTGGATAAACTGGGCCCCACCAATTCTTAGCCTCTGGATACTACTGGAAGCCTAGGCGACCACCAGCCGAAGCTTATGTCTATGGCTTCCTTTTTCCCCATTCCCGCCTTTAGGGTACAGATCAACGTCACTGATGTATACTCTCATTTGGATTTCAGTCCCTAAATTCTGTCTTAATCAGTAAAAAAAATTTAAAATAAATTGATTTTGACACCAATGGCATTCCATATTAGTTAATTTATTGCTTATTTCCACCAATGGCATTCCATACTACTAGATTTTTCTGGCCTTTTCCAATTCTACATTCTAAAATCAATAACAGGAAGTTTCTCTATAAAACAGGAGGTGGTTAGTGCTCTCCAAAAACACTAGGGAAAATCAATAAATTAGAGGCTTGAGGACAAATAACCTTCATGATATTTGGATTTTATTTTAATTGTGGAAACAACCTCATTTTGCTTTGACAGAATTTGTTCGACAAAGAGAAAATTTTTAAAAAGTAGAGAGAGCTTTTAGTGTTGCTGGTGATTTCTATTGACGGAGTGTTTAATATCACAATCCAATCATGAATGGCGTTCCATAACTTATTTGCATGGCGTTCCATACTGTGCTTTTTCTAATTCCACGGTCCAAATTCACAACATATACAATTTTCTTAATATAACTAGACATTGGTGGTGCTCTCCAAGTTTCTTACACTGACAAAAACCAATAAATAAGAGACTTTAATTAAAGAATTTATGGAAAATCCATCATGATCATTTCTCTTCAAATTTTATAAGACTGAAGAACAATTCATAAAAATTCCATATAACTTTATTTGTGAATTTTCTTTCCTTTAGTTAATCCAGTGTCAATTTTATATTTATAAGTAAATGTTATTTTTACTTACAGACTTGACATGTTTCGCCTCTTGGCAAGAGGCATCGTCAAAAGTGAAGCGATGACAGCTCGGACCTTCCGATGACGTTTCGGTTAATAGCGACACCTATTTTTCACTTAGGTTTACCCAAGCGAGGGTGCTGGGGGGGGGCCGTGCCTTTCAGAATTTCATCGTATAAATGCGGGACTTCGTACCCATCATCCCTGTTCATGGTATTCTTGTTTTGCCTTATCTTGAGAGCTTCTCTTATTTTTCTATCCTGCCAGTGTGGTTCTTCTGCCAGTATCTTTGCATTCCAATCATGGAGATGGTTCCTACAAATCATGTGGTCGGTAATTGCGGAGTCGTGAGTGACTTGGGATGCAGAGTTCCTAGCTGTTCTGGTAAGGACACTGGATTAACTAAAGGAAAGAAAATTCACAAATAATTTACTGAATCCAGAATGAATTTATCTCCTATAATTCCATATAACCGCTTGAAATAACTTGCTGCATATTAGGCCAAAAAAAGATTTGTTTGCCCTGCAGCGCCTGCCCCTAGCTCACGGAAAAATAGGGCGGCGTTATTAAAAAATGTTTTTTTTTTTATTTTTTATTTTTTTGTACACACATTTTAAAAAGTGATCTTTATATTTCTGCACATGAAAGTTGTATAAATTTGGTGTGATCGAATTCTAGGCCTAAATTCATTGCAAAACATCGACTATGGGTTATTTTTTTTCATTCTGATGAATACCCTTTGAAAAACAAATAGTGAGATAGCGATTTAATATCTTAATTTTGGTGACAGGAAAAAAAAAATGTAAAAAAAAAAATTTTTTTGGACCCGCCCTTCCTAAAAAATTTGTCAGCATTAAAGGACAAACAAACAATTAATTTTTTTACGCCTTATCTGTCTTCCACTTCAAAAATAAATTTGCCTGAGTCATCATTAGCTATTATATTCAAAATATTTTAGTTATAACTAGGAAGTTGGATTTGACGTTATAACAATTATGAAATTATTAGTGGATTAATGCAACGGCAGTGATGTAACAAAGAGTCCTGAGCCTGTGATTTCATTTTAAATCATGGCGTATTTGCCAAGAGTGGTGAAGTCTCCCTTTCCGAAATAACCCCCCCCCCACCCCCAACCGAAAAAAAAAATAAAAGAAAAAGTCATTTTTCAGTTTATTCAGTTTTGTACTTAGTATAATTGCTCAATTGTATGTCTTCCAATATTTATGCCCTTTTTTTTATTGTTTTTGTGTTTCAAGTTTGTACATTTCCCTTTTGTATTTTTGATGTTGTAATATCTCGTGCTTTCTTATTTTGACTGATTTAACTAGTGTATTTTAAATATTTTAAACATTTTTAATATTATTACATTGAATTATTCTGTACATTTCAAATTTTTCTTAAATTTGCAATAAAGCTATTTTGAATCTTTGAGCCAAGATTCCATCCCTTGTACTGTAACTCAAAATTCCGGACACTCTGGAGGTCCAGCGCAGGTGAAGTGTGCCCCCAAACCAAAATGTTGAAAATTTAAGGTTTTTTTTCAGGCATGCCTTTTGATTTTGATATTTTGAGGTGCCAACACTCAGAAAGCCATTGTATGTATGCCTATCTTTAATCAAGTCTGCACTCAAAAGAACAATTGAGACAGAAATACTCAATTATTGTTACCAAAGAGCCAATAAATTACACATTTTGAGTATTTGGGGTTCTTTTCTGAAAAATTGGAAGTATTGGGCAAAATTATGAAGACCGGGAGATTGCCGGAGACTCCCAATCAAATCAAATCAAATTGGGAGGGATGGAACGTATGCTGAGACCCCTGGCTGGGCTTCTACAGGGCCTAATGCCCTGGAGACTGGGTCCGAGCAGAGCATAGTGTGGTGTTTTTGACATTTTAAGGGCGTATTTCATTTTCCTTTTCTACACGTTCTTTTTGCTCAAAGGCCTGCTCAGCTAATTTAGGGCAAAACAAAAATGCTGATATTATCAAAGGCTCATGGCTCATAGCAGTTACGCTACTGCTCAGAGGACCCAAGCCTCCCACAAGTAGGGGGGACAGACGGGGCTATAGCCATGCAAGGGCTCGGAACAACAAAAAACAAAAAAACAATAAATATAATTAATATGGAAAAAGTAAAATTCATGCAAGTCTATGATAATTATTTTGTTTGGTTGATTTTTCAGTGGATCAGCTTATTGAGAATTTTCTTAAATGAGACAAGGAAAACTAAATGATTTGGCATCTCAAGCATTGAAAGTCAACTTGATTTTGTTTATAGTATGTCTGGGACAGAATAATGCACATCATTAGTATTTTAATTTTAACATTTAATTTCATATTTTTACAATGAAGATATATTATATGGTATTCCATATGTTCTACTGGATTCATTGAACTAAAAACATAGGTACTGACACCAAGATCATGGTAATATGGGCACTTAAAGCTTTTGAACTACAAAAATTGTGTTTTTTGGCGGCCATTTTTAATATTTTATTTATTTTTGCATTTTCACCATGACGGTTATTGTATTTTAATAATGTTATTGGATTCATTCCTTGAACTAATGAACATAGGTATTGACACTGAGATCATGGTAATGTGGGCACTTCGAGCCTTTAAACTGCAAGAATTATGTTTTTTGCGGCCATTTTGATTTTTCCAAATTTCAGCGGGAACGTTTAGAGTAAAATCGTGGTTCCCGAAATTTTTGGAATCGGAATATTCAAAAACCCCCCTAGGGCTTCTTTCCAGAAGTGCACACCCCAGTCACATATCTGCTCCACTATTATTAGTGGTCTTTGCTAAAAAACGTCTCCTAAAAGCTTCTACACAAGTATTGAAATAAAACAGAATGTTTTTAAACATACTGTAGGCCAAATTTAAATACTGTACATCCAAGGGATGAAGGAGGCATGGTTATACTGGAACCATGGCCTACATATAGTACAGTACTTATACTCATATTTTTTAAACAGAATAAAATAATTTCTTTACACTTTTGAAAATCTTCCCATTTACTATAATTACTGGTAGTATAAGCATACATTGTTTTGTTTTTATTTGCCAAAATAATATATTCATTACCTTATATATTATTTTTGTTTAAAGTTAATTTTAAAAAACATTTTTCTTACAAAAACTTAGATAAAATAATAAACCTTAAATAGATTAAATTTCTGAGTTTACTTATAATTTATTCCATTATCATAATACATTTCTGTCGAGATGATCTAGTCTGTATGTCAGTAATCGTTTAAATTAGCCATAAACTACATAAAATGTCGGACTTTGGGGCTTCACCCCCAAATCCCTATCATGGGCTCTGCCCTGGACCTGCTAGGTACAGGGCTAGGTGCCTCCATTACCCCCCAACTCCCAGATCCCAGCTTTTTGGAGTCCAGGGCCACTGTTGCTGCCAGAAAGACTCTCCCAGTGAGACTTTCCCAGAAATCGGGAAGGCTTCCTGAACTGCTGGCCATGTAAAGCAAGAATCTCCCAGAACATATCCCATCTCCCGCAATATACATATACATATGAGGCATGTTGTGGCAAAATGACTAAGTTGTAGCAAAAATTGAAATTCAAGTTATTGGTATTTTCATATATACGTGAGTATGTGATCTTTAAAATGAGGGGTCGTTCATTGAAATTGCACATTTCAAACATAAGTTATTGGAAAGTGAAAGTACAGTACACTTTAGAATCAGTAAACTTTAGAAAGTACAGAACCTTTCGAAGTTATTTGTGCATACATTGTTTAATAGAATGAACTATAAA